GAAAAGAGGAAGACAAAAGAATACATTGAACCGGGAACTAGAGGCAGACATCCAAAGGCTGGACAGAACTTGAGAACAACTGGAAATAAAAATTCATGATAGATTTGGATGGAAATTTCTGGCTGGCAACCTCTCTCGCAAGACAGGCAACAGAATTAGTTCAGTAACTAGATTGTCGCTCGTATATATCGTTACTGTGTGCAATAACCTATTACTAACCACATAATATTTCGCTTATACTAAGGAGGTAAAGTAATATATGATTTAAATTGTGTTATTAAAGTTAAATATAAACTTGAAAGTGTACACAAATATTTCAGAACGTTTTTATAATGTACACTGTGTTAGAGAAATAGGTACACAATTTGAGCTTTCATACGACATAACAATAATTGCCTCTTATGTGATTATTAGACTTGAAATGGTGATCCAAAATATTCTAGAAAACTATGTTATGAAATTAAAATTATTGTTTATTGAACCAGTGTAAGCTATTTGACCATTTCTACTTTAATTTTTCCTTAGCTATCAATGTAGATTAGAATTGAGTTTTTCTTCTGAATAAAAAGCTTTTCAGGCACATGCCACGAACGGTCTTCTGATATTCATAAAGCTCAATGAGATATAAGATACTAGAGATAGTAACCATGCTTGTTACGAATTCATATTGTTCACGGCAATAAATTGTTTATTATTGAATTTATTAACTAGATCACATACCATTGTTTATTCACGTAAGCACTCACTTACTTATTCATTATTTATTGAATATTAAAAAAAAATTAAAAAGTGACCAGTTCGGTGTAGTGTTTTACATCATGACACAATACCACGTTACTGCGGCTTACCTAGTTTATCTATATCTATCTATCTATCTATCAGTTCGTTAGATCACTTTAATTTTTACACCATTGCTATAGTTTCCATCATAAAAAAGACTCTATATTAGTTTGATGAAATATTTGTTTTGATTTCATCATGAAAGAAATATTCAACCATTGATATTTTTTTCATACAGTTGTCAGGAATCATTCAACACTATCGTGTTTCTTTCAATTAGTCACATTCTATTCACATGACAAAATAACGCTTACTTAGTAATACAAGACAAAAATACAATCATAAATTCGTTTTCATTAACAACAGTAATGTACTGTGTGAATTAAAATTTTCCCTGATTTATATTAAAAAGTTGAATTAGAAATAAAGGAGTCTGTGTGTGTGTGTGTATTAACGCCAAATATTCAATGTCAGCATTACAATTTGATTGAATCAATAAAGAAGTTATGATGCAATTTCGCATACTTTTGATACTAAAAACAATAAGACAGTAAGATATTATGTAAAAAGGAATGCGATCATTAGTATAACAGAAAGGTATGATGAAATGTTAACTACTTAGGGTATAATAAATTATAAACAGCACTAATATAAAACATATTGAACCTACTAAATTCAATTAGTGTTGTTTGTTTAAATCTTTCCATTGATGTTTAGGATTGCAACTGATCAGTCTCAAATTGGCATATATGCATACTGTGCGTATTGCCTCGATATAGCCTTAATTCACGAGCATTGCAAGCAAAGATGGATAGTGGCTAGCAGTGGAATCCAGGACGCGCGTTTCGTCCTATTTGGAACTCGAACCCAGTACCTTTCGCTTTAAACACCATCGCGTAATCAACTCAGCTATTGATCCCTAATAGCCACTTGCTTGTGCAATCGGATGAAGTTTAAATTCATTTAGTATTGTTTGTTTGAATCTTCTCATTGATGTTTAGGATTGCAACTGGTCAGTCTCTAATTGGCATATGTGCGTATTGCTTCGATATATCCTTAATTCACAAACACTGTAAGCAAAGATGAACATCAACTCTGAGATGCAGGTACACCCAGCTGACGAGTCCCAAACAGGACGAATCACGCGTCCTGGATTCCACTGCTAGCCACTATTCATCTTTGCTTACTAAACAACCTACTGTTTATGATCTCTATTTTACTCATTATGTGATTATTATCTAAAGGGTAAACATTTTCGCTAATAATTTAAAACGATAATTATTCTTTTTAATTTAAATGACATTTCTTCAGGTAACCATTGTACAATAACTTTCATCCTTAGTTTAACTGTATAAAATAACATGAGGTGACTAGAAATATACAATATGTAACGGAGTGGACATCAGCTCTGAGATGCAGGTACATTCAGCTGACTAGCACAAAATGGGATGAAATGTGCTTCTTAGATTCCACCGCTAGCCACCATCCATTTTTGCATATAATATGCTTAACAGTTGGAGAAAATTTATAACGATAAAACTGTTCTAATAAAAATTAATTTGTCTGACTTTTGACGATTTCATTTTGAGTTTTGATACTAGATAGTTTATATGGTTTTAATTACTTGTTGGGCAAATCAAAGTCAGTTATTTATGACTCAGTGAGCACTTCTTTCAATTATAAGTTGAATATCGTCTTTCTGTTATGTGGAAGAATGAGACACATGAAAATCGAAGGCAGATATTTAATATAATTGGTTCTAGTTTATAATTATTTAAGTAGTAGCTCTTTCATTCGTTTTAAAATTTACTGCATACCAACTAATACACCACATGTAGTCTTGTCAGTACCACTGATAAGAAACAAGTTCTTAACTTTTGGGGTAAAAGGCCCGTAATGTTTTAATGTACGTTCCCATTAACTGAGTGATTTATGGCACGTACAAACTTCCTAATTAAGACCAGTACAACCACAGTAACCAATGTTTGAAAAATGTAGGTACTAAATCGGTTATAAAAGCTCTGATATATTTATTTTCTCCTCTCTTTCCTCATCTAAATCTTCAGTTTTATCATTATTTCCTCCTTTTTCTCATAGATTTTATTCTTTCTTTCCGAATTCAATCTCTCATCAACTTTTATTTACATTATTGATATTAACATGTTAACTCCTCTGATTCTCATACTGTTGACATTCTCTCCTACTAAGCAGATATTCTAATTAGCAATTTGAGTTTATGAATATTTATGGTTAAGTCGTTAGTTGATTATAACTAATAAACTGGTATAAGTTCTTCTTTAATTAATTTTTTTCTTACTATACCGAGTAATATTAACTACACTCTAGACATTGTCATCATTATTTTCATGATAATTCCTTATAATTTATAAGTTAAGAATTTCATATCAATGATCATTCATATTCTGAATCTCGATGGACGGGATCGTGAGTGTCCACTGCTGAGGAGTCCCACACTTGGATGAAACGGCCGTACAGTATCTCCTGGTTTTCCATGGTGGTCTAGCTTTAATTGACTAATGAATTCAACTATAAAATTCCCTTTATTTTATCCCAATATTATTTGTTCAGATGATTATTTTTTTTAATCATATGACTTTTTTTGTTTTCATTACCTGGATTCATATATATTGGTGTCTTACACGTGATTATCACTTAAATATTGATAAATGGTATGTACTTTTATTATATGAACTTTACATTTGATATTGAAATAAAAACAAACAAACAATGTCTGTATTTGATATATTGTCAAAATGTCTACTGGTAATCAAAACATTTACAATTTCTTCTTTTTATTTTTGAATGGAATAGTCTAGATGGTATTGTATTTCGATAGAATATGCACGACAAAGACTTGTAATGTAATTCAAAGTTTATTTTATAAATGTATTATTTGTGGAAATTCTTTTGATGTTCATTATTTTTTATTTACAATTTGGCCTAGTTATATATCAAGTCTTTGTTCACTAATGTAGATGTGTATCACTTTATTGTATACTTACGTTCTTCTTGTTCAACTAAATACATTTCTAGATTAGTTAACATTTTCATCTTTTTATAATTTCATACAACTGTAGTGAACGAACACCCAGATGGGGGAAACCAATTCATTGTTCAATGCAAAATTATAGAGTGCTTTGGCAAAATATGAAAACCATACATTAGTTACATAATTTACACATCTTCCATTAGTTGTCCCTTACATGCCTTACGGTTATTTCAATTCTGTTTTTATTACAATTACTTTCTGTTTCCCATTCTGTTCTTTTCAATTGAATCTTCTGCTGGTATGCATTTCACTTTTAATTGGTGCTACATACTACCTATATCTGTCAACATATGTACACTACACAACAACCTGAATCGATAAACCATTGTGTAGCATTTAAATATTGATGTATCTCTCAGTCAAAACAGTTATCCAATTAAGTAATATATCTCCTTTTTTTTAAAGAACTACGTCAGTCTTAATGTTGAAAACGAGATATGTTGGCTATAAGTATGCTGCATATCGAACATCATAGCTACATGAAAAATAGTGACATTATCATTTATTTTATCAGTCATCTTAAAATATTAAACACTAGAAAAATGTACGTGAATTACTGTCGAACTTAAAGTTTCACTAGATGAGACAGATACACTACAGTAAATAGTATTCAAACATTACCAACTCCCTCTATCTGATATAAGAAAATCTGCTCAGATACTGTTACATTCCGATAACAATAGTGAATGGTAACTTTGGAATTCATTTTTGGACCAGTATTATGCATATATTTTTTTATCGTATAATTGTTAATTAACTAAACTATTCATAATAATGTTTCCCTTATTATAAGCTTTATTTTGGCCCATAGACTGTCATTATACTATTTACCATCCTTGAGTTATCTCTAGTCTATTAATTACTGCCTCCCACATTCACAGCCACATTTGGCTAAATCTTTTACAAATGTTATTTTCTATCTTATTGGTACGATGTGGTCAGTCTGTTTGGTATATAAACTCAGTATGTTTGAAATACAAGGATTCATACCGCAGAGGCTGTTATTGATGTTCTGGACTTAACTGGCTGGGTTAGACAGAAGCAGGACCGATACGTACTCTAGATTGCTAGTACGGTTTTTGTGTGTCACTGTTCCAATCGATAATTTCGCACGTAAAGGACAACTTATAATTAAGTTATTAACTATGAAGCAAATTTATAGAGATGTATATTTATATGACTGCTTTGTTAAACGAAACAATAAATCAATATTTATGTATATGTTTAAGGAAATAATAAATGGGACTAAAAACAAGCCCTCTTTTTTTACTTCCTGATATGATAAAAACAAAACAAAAAAATAAATCTTGCGACAACATAAACAGAAGAAAAATAAATTAGATAAATAAACAAACAAAATCAATAAGTAAATAGAAACAAACTTCAGTGGTCAACTGGCGCAAAAAGAAGTTTTTTTACAGTATATTTTTTTTCTTTTTTTGGCCGATCACAGTTTGATGTAAATATATAAGAATATATATATGTATTGACATGCTCATACTCACATGAAGATATATAATTTATTGAAAGGGGTGTTCTTTTTTTATAAAAAAAGGAAAGAAAAGAGGTTAACAAGTCCCCACATAAACCGGAAATAAAATCAGGATAGATCCATAAAAAAAACCCAGAAAAATGATCATATTTCCCATAAGATTATGATGAGTAAAAGTTAAGATCTTTTTTTGTTTAAGAAGGATCAAATAAATAAAAACAATAATGAATTGAAAGTAGTCAAATTGCACATTATATGAGTAAATGCATTTTCTTTTGTTTGTTTATTCTTGTTTTAGTTATTTGATGAAAATGAGAATAAATACAAAGTTTAAATTATAAAAAAAAAAGAAATACTAGATCATTGTCATAAAAATTTTTTATGACTAATGAAAATAAACTGAAGGCACTCTAATGTTTTAAAATATGATTATAATGAACAGATCTGGATCAGATTTGGAAGAGCGCAATAAATTCATATGGAGTAAGTAGACGAATACGTTGTTCTTTATTAGGATAATGACAAGGATGTCCAAATATCTATAAAGATTCAAAGATAGAATTACGATTTTAAAAGAATGTAATCAAGATAAAAGGTAGAATTTCGCCTTAATAAAGTATCCGGTAATCATTATACATAAAAATAAACCTAATATACAAATTTTGAGATGTTGTTCAAGATGATACTTTGAATATTTTAATTCAATTGAGAATATTCCTCTTTATGATTCAAAGAAAAAAAACTAGAATGTATTGAGTAAATGTTACTTTTAGATTGTATATTCTTAGTGATTTCAACCTTTCAGGGCTTTCAAAATCAAATAAAAATCCTACGCTTTATATTTATCCTGTTGTTACTTAGTAATTAAAGAAATTAACAATGTATGATAAGTTAACTTATGTATGATCGTCGCACAAATCTTTAAATAGCATCAAATCAATAAACACATTTCCCAGTTATTTCTGGGGATAGGAAGAAAAGCTGTTCTTCAAACAATAACATCTAATCAAAAACTACCGTCAATATATGTATCAGAATTTAGTTTGAAAATATTATTCATTGCAATAAAAACAGAATTTTCAGTTGTTTTAATGACATGATCAAAACATGGTTTATCAGTCTAAGTTCAAACATACAATGCAACTGGAAGACTATGGATGATATGACTTGGAATCGATCACAATGGCGTAGGTGTATACACTCTCTGTCTTCCCTTAAACTATGAGATTAAAATTGCTTTATATCTTTCTTACTACCATCCAGTTATTTCTTCCTGTACTATATCCTTATTATCAATCTTTCTTTTATATATTACCACTACTGAATTAACTACTTCTGTGAATTCGGTGTTCATCTTGTTGTGCTAATGAAGTATGGCAGCTTGGACTGTTGCATATTTGTGCCTGGTCCTACATTTTAGCTGACTGACTGACAATACAAGTGACTTTTTTAAAAAATTAAAATGGTTTATTTTTCAGGGAGCATTATTGAGAAATAAATTATACATTGTGAACGCCCTACCTAGTGGTTATAATCTAAGCCTCTGTTTATAAACCTTTTTAGAGAAACAAAAGATCTTAAAATACATTGACTATTGTGACAAAGCTTCAAAATAAACACATAATACTTCAAGAACCTTTAACAAATTGATTCAGTATAATATTGCACATGGATAGAGCATATTTCGTTCATTCATAACTATTGTTACTATGCTCATACTAATAACTAGTATCTGAGTCAAAGGATTTCACGCAACATATTGGAAACCAACGAAAAAGATGTTTTGCACTTTTGAGATCTTAGTTTTAGTTTATTTCATTCAACGTACTATCGGGTGGTCTCCCCATATGTTCTTTGTAGTTTGCAGTAGTTAAGTATTAAAAAGAATTGTATTTCACAGTTGTCCTGTAGATTATATGTAAGTAACTACCTCCTGAATAACTCATTCTACACTGATTTACTTTTACGATCTTACTAAATCTCCCAACACAATTTAAACACTTACCAAATAATGTTTGAACTAAGATTCAGTTACTTTATTTGACTATAAATAATTAGGCTTTACATGTGATGACAGTTTTCTAACGACCATATTTAATTTTTGAACAAAATAGATCAATAGATCCCTGAAGTACGAACCTTCTCACAAATAAGAATATAATTTCAGTTTCGTGAAATTTGGAATGTTAGTTGAATTCGCTGTCTCAGAGAAGGGATCTTTACTGCCATTAATCCGTCACAATTGTGGAGACTTAGTTGATGCAATAGACATCATCCTTATGACTCAACTAAATGTATCGTGCAGGTATTGGAAAAGGGTGAAGACAAGGGAGGTAAGGTCAGTTTATGGTACAGCGTCATGGTATGGAAGATAAGTGTATACGACTTGTATCTGCGTTGTATCTGTGTTGTTTACGAAAGTGAGAGGACGAAAAGCGAATGTCCGGCGCTTTAACCGGGTTGGTGGACACGGAGGGTCCACCTAGGGGAGTTGGAAAACCCTGATTTCAAACCAATGGTGCACATGGGCTCCAGTATCCTGATGGAACGAATGGCGGACGAACCTGTCATTGGTCAACGGCTACCATGGGACTGCATCTCCTCACGATGCTCCACTGCCTTGTGGATCAGACATTCAGGTCAAAGGCTCCGGGTGTGGCCCCCTAAGAAAACCACCTGCTTCAGTCTGGGCACCTGGGCAGTATCACAGCCCTCACACAAATCGAATGAGATTTGTGAGGCGCATATGTATTTGGTGCTTCATTGTACCAATATTTATGTGTTTAAATAAAAATAATAATCTGCCAACCCACTGTGACTCTTTATTTAAGGTTCAAATAGTCATGTGACTCAGTGGCTTGAGATGTTATCAGGTATGGCTCAAGACGGAAGTTAGAGGTGATTCTGCAGCAGTTTTTTTTCACACTTCATAAAATTGAGATGAGTCTCATAAACTGAGAGAAATCCTTGTCAGCTATATTCCTATTAAATATTATTTTTGTTCACTTCTTTATTGATTGTACTCTATTTATTTATGTGGGCCATTTTCATCTTCCTTATGTACACGGATGCATGTGATTAAGTTAACATAGGTAAATAAAACTAGAAAAACAGGTTAAGTGTCTTGATGGAGTTTTGTTCTCCGAGCTTGATGGTTTGGTTGTGGAGCTTTCATCGTTCTTCTGAATGACATCATCAGCACAAACTTCGGGTAGAAGTGAAGTGTTTGAATTTGGCCACTTGTGGTTCACAGCTTGTCCTGTACACCTCGATGTCGATTGGTTCTTGTTGACCTTAAATCTGTCATTGTTTATTTCTTTGTTTTGGTTGTATCTCCCATTGGTTTGGATTTTGTTCCTATGTTTCTGTATAATTCTCCCGATTGGTTGATAAATTGGATTGATTTCAATGTACCTGTTTATTGCTGATTGACCTGAGTGCCAAGCTTCTAGAAATTCTCTGGTGTTTTTGGAATTGCCTTTATCCAAAATCTCCACATTTTTCTAGTCGAATGTGTGTCCACAGTTGTCCACATGCATTGATATGAGTGAAGACATATCATGGCGTTTGACTGCTAATTGATGTTCATGTAGGCGAAGATCAAGAGGGTGTCTGCTTTTTCCGATGTAGTAGTTGTCGCAGTTGGCACAATTTATTTTGTGGATGATGTTTAGTTTGTCTTCTTTTGTCATCTAATCCTTTGGTTTGCATAAGATTGAGTGGATGGATTTTGTTGGTTTGTGAGCAACACCTATTCTGAATGTCTTCAGCCATCTTGTTGTCGTTATACAGAAACATAGGAACAAAATCCAAACCAATTGGAGATACAACCAAAACAAAGAAATAAACAATGACAGATTTAAGGTCAACAAGAACCAATCGACATCGAGGTGTACAGGACAAGCTGTGAACCACAAGTGACCAAATTCAAACACTTCACTTCTACCCGAAGTTTGTGCTGATGATGTCATTCAGAAGAACGATGAAGGCTCCACAACCAAACCATCAAGCTCGGAGAATAAAACTCCATCAAAATTATCCACCTGAGCTACAAATATTTTCCACCATCTCAGGTTAAGTGTTGTTTTTCAGAATCAGTGATTAGGCAATTGGAATACTGATGAACATTGGAAAGGTGAGGGAAAAAGAATAGTTCTTAAAATTAAATGGAAATACAGCATATATATATATAGGTATGTGACCCACCGGCCAAAACAAACAGAAGCAAACTTCGCAGACAGCTAGCTTGGCTGGATAAATATGATTGTCTCCGTATATTTTGAGCAGTCTGACATAGGCTCGTTTCCAATCACAATCATCAATTGATGCCGGAGATCGAGTATGCCACCCAGGAAGACCATAATTAACGGTTGGTATCTGACTTATATCAAAGTGTGTTAGTGTTAAAGTTCTCCAAAAGTGTTTATCTGAAACTACACTGGCTAATGCACTTGAAGCCAAAGATGCCGTTTCAAGATCCTGAGGAGAGTTTATATAGGTCAGGACATGAGTTAAACATTCAGATGGAAGTCTTTCCAGTTTTATACCTTCATCTGAAGAGTTTTCACGTACACTCAAGGGCCTGAGCTTGTAATGCGGACAGGTTGTAAATGATTGGATTTTCTATGATGCAAAAGTAAAATTTAGAAATAACACAATAAGATGAATGTTACGATATTAACAAGATTAAGAACAAAATTGCTACAATTTGACAGGTCTTCCAATAAAAAATAACCAGTGAAAAGCGAATAAATAACACTTACGGAAGTCTTCTACAAATAAGAAAATCGACAGTTACCCATGCGCTTATTTTAGTTACTGGCAGACATAAGTCAATTAGTTAGGATGACAAATCAAACGAAGTTGGAGTCAATTAAGTCCAAGCAGCAAGAAATAATTAACCACTTTACAACCCCCGAAAACAAAGAATAAATGAAAAAATGTATGAACAAGATACTGATGTCATATTTCGCTGTTTGCTTACTTCAAGACGAATTACATAACGCTTTGTTTGTACTGCTTTTATTGACAAAAATCTAATATTTTAAAGCATTAGAAGTTTTATTTATTTGCGGGACTTAAAACAGTTCGTGATATTATCACTCTGAAGTAAAAAAGACAGAATTACTGGACAGTTAATACAGAATACGGTAGTTGATAATCCAATACTCACCAATATAACTTTAGAATTCCCCTTCAATAACATCTGACAATGCAATTTTTATTGCTTTACAGTCGACATACAATTTTTTGGCGAGATGATGGAAATCTGTAGCTTAAGAGGAAGCTTCTATACATACCATGTTTTTTTTACCTCAGAGAGAACAACAGATCCAAAACAAGAGTATTGTTGGATCTGAAGTAAAAATATCTTTACTTCAAGTTCAGATAGGTCGTAAAAGATAATGAAATCTGACCAACACATCAAGACAACGTTTATTGACCGGACAACTAGACTTTATATACACATTATTTACCTAACTCTATCGTTTATCTCCAGTAACAATTCTTCCTAAAAGATAACTGACACTAACGCAATGGCAACATTTGAGTTACGGTAAACCGTAAATTAGTTTATCAACATGATTATTCTACTTAGGCTTATTAGAAGATCAAGCCAAACACTTACACAATGAAGATAACTGCATGACTATTTATATTACTGAAAGCATTGACGTACAGCTGCGACATAGTATTACTTTCGCATTGATATGTGAATTGGAATTTTCAAATATATCGAAAAGAATTGTCTGACCAGACATTAAGTTGTATTCTCCACCTTACCTTAAATTCTAATACAGTTGAGCAGCAAGGAAACTGTTGAGTCTAAATGGTCTTTGAAAAAACCAAATGTAAGGGTGATTTCAGTTTGAAAGAAGGGCATTTGTGTAATAGCAATGAGCTCTTACACTTAGGGTTTTACGGAAAATATATACAGAAAAATACAGTCTAACTGCACGTTTCCTAAAATGAAATAATACCCATTTGAAACATTGAGTTTAGATGGATTGTTTTCAACAGAATGTTCCGGCTTAGTAATGCAGACATAAAATGAGATTATCTTCCAAACCATATGAACCGCTTTCACAGAATATGTGTATCAAAAGTAGACGTTGAGCATGTTTTGAAAGAAGCTAAAAGATTACGTGGTAGCCCAGTACGCTGGGAGTTATATCTAGCAATATTATGTTAGCTTATTATCTTGAGTGATCTTATACTGGAAAAAAAACAGGAAACCTGAGGTTAAATAAATAACATAAATACTTCGAAACTAATACAAAACAGAGAATCCTACTTTTTCGATATCAAATTCATCAATACGAATATACATCTCATCTAAGGCCTTTTTATGATTCTGCCAAAGTAAGGCACTTCCAATATGATCATATTCATTTTTCTCTAGATTTTCTCGTAATGCATCCAAAAGCTTTCGAAAACGTTCTGTCTGGTTGCAACTAGCTTGGACTAAAATATATAAGAATGAGAAAACACAAGAACCTTGTTTGAGCACCTCTTTCAGAAGTTCAATTAAGAAGAGCTGTAACCTTCCAGCTAACCTGTGAAAGTGTTCTGAAATAAGAAGCTCAATTATCTAAAACATGAAAACGATGAGAAAAGTACTTTGCATATATAATCAAATCTTCTTATATCTCTTAGAGCAGCTTTGGTATCAAGCTTTAGGAGAGCTTCACTAATGGTTGTTGTTGTAGCGATCTACAACCAGTTTATGGGTGGTTATCACAACAAACCTCACGAGTAGTCCCTGCTTGAAGGTGTATATATGGTTGGTAAAAAACGGCTTTGAGGTATTCACTAACATACGGCGTTGACTTCATTTCATCTTCTAGTGTTTGCCGACACAATCTAACATTATAAATAATTAAAAATTAACGACAAACCGCTTTACAACATTCTCATTGATGGTTTCAAACATTCTGAGCCGATAAATTTTGGCATTTTCCCACATGCTGCCGCTTTCGTTTGTCTTTAGCCACTGACCTCCAGGACATCTCCAGTCTGGACTAAGAAAAGGCATCTTAATACTAAAATGACTATAAAATTAACAGCTGATTGCAGACCTTCACAGTACACTGGTACAATCAAACAAATGTGCATCAGTATAACGTTCAAGGGTGTACCGATGGATTCCAGATGACCACAGTTGGTAAGGAATGAAATTCAACTCAGTCATCTTCCATTTTAGCAAATAATAAGTCACCAACTCGATAGTTATTATTAAGAAATGCCTATCAATAAACACAATAACTCCGCCTGTAGCTCCTCTGGGGGTTACTGCCGGTCCCAAGCCCGGGTAAAGGAAGAGGGTTGGGCATGGGGTTAGCGACCCCATCCCGTAGAAAATCAACTCGCTAAAAAAACGCTAACCAGAAAAAATCATTCAAACCTTTCAAACTCTGCCCTGGGAGTAGAAGTAATAATTATGACGTCTCATGATGAAAGCCGAGTTCCTTCGGAAGTCATGAGGCCGATGAACCTTCTTACAACCAGAGCGACAATTTTTATAGGTACATGGAATGTCCGAACAATGTGGGAGACCGGAAGAGTTTTCCAAATTGCTGCAGAAATGAGAAAATACAACCTGGAGGTGCTTGGAATCAGTGAAACGCATTGGACGCAGGTTGGACAACAACGACTGTCTTCAGGAGAACTTCTGTTATACTCCCGTCATAAAAAAGAAAATGCCCCACATACACAAGTAGTTGCATTGATGCTGTCCAGAAAAGCACAAAATGCACTTATTGGATGGGAATCTCATGGACCAAGGATCATCAAAGCCTCCTTCAAAACAAAGAGAGAGGGCATTACAATGAACGTCATCCAATGCTATGCGCCGACCAACGACTAGGATGAAGACGCTAAAGACCAATTCTACGATAGGCTGCAGTCGATCGTCGAGAAGTGCCCAACCAAGGACCTGACCATTCTGATGGGAGATCTCAATGCCAAGTTTGGAAAGGACAACACTGGATACGAAGACGTCATGGGACAACATGGACTGGGAGAAAGGAACGAAAATGGTGAAAGATTTGCAAACGTATGTGCCTTCAATAAACTGGTCATAGGTGGCACCATATTCCCACACAAAAACATACACAAAGCCACTTGGATTTCACCGGATCACACTACACAGAACTAAATTGACCATATCTGCATCAACAAAAAGTTCAGGAGGACGATGGAGGATGTGAGAACCAGAAGAGGAGCTGATATAGTATCCGATCATCATTTGCTGGTCGCCAAGATGAAACTAAAACTCAAGAAGCACTGGACAACGGTGCAGACAACATCACAAAAGTTTAATACGGCCTTTCTTCGAGATGCTGTCAAACTCAACAAATTCAACATAGCCCTCAGCAACAGGTTCCAGGCCTTTCATGATCTACTCAATGGAGAGGGAACTACAATGGAGAGCAACTGGAAAAGTATCAAGGAGGCAATCGTTTCAACGTGTCAAGAGGTTCTGGGCCAAAAGAAGCACCATCACAAGGAATGGATCACTGTTGGTACACTGGATAAGATTGAAGCAAGGAGGAACAAGAAGGCAGCAATCAATATCAGCCGAACAAGAGCAGAAAAAGCCAAGGCACAAGCCGAATACACAGAGGCAAACAAGCAAGTGAAGAGGAGCATCAGAACCGACAAACGTAAATATGTGGAAGATTTAGCGATGACAGCGGAAAAGGCTGCAAGAGAGGGAAACATAAGACAACTGTATGATACAACCAAGAAACTTTCTGGAAATTACCGTAAGCCAGAAAGACCAGTGAAGAGCAAGGAAGGCAAAGTAATCACCGACATTGAAGAACAACGAAACAGGTGGGTAGAACACTTCAAAGTACTCTTAAATCGATCAGCTCCACTGAACCCACCCAACATCGAAGTAGCACCCACAGACCTCCCAATTGATGTTGGCCCACCTACAATTGAAGAGATCAGCATGGCCATTAGACAAATCAAGAGCGGCAAAGCAGCAGGACCAGACAACATCCCGGCTGAGGCACTGAAAGCAAATGTAGCAGCAACTGCCAAGATACTACACATCCTCTTCAGTAAGATTTGGGACGAAGAACAAGTACCAACAGACTGGAAAAAAGGACTTCTGATCAAAATACCAAAGAAAGGTGATCTTAGCAAGTGCGACAACTACAGGGGCATTACTCTCCTCTCAATACCAGGAAAAGTCTTCAACAGAGTATTGTTAAACAGGATGAAGAATTCCGTAGACGCCAAACTTCGAGATCAACAAGCTGGATTTCGTAAGGATAGATCGTGCACAGAACAAATCGCAACTCTACGTATCATTGTGGAACAATCAATCGAATGGAATTCATCACTCTACATCAACTTCATCGACTACGTGAAGGCATTTGATAGCGTGGACAGGACGACACTATGGAGGCTTCTTCGACACTACGGCGTGCCTGGGAAGATAGTCAATATCATACGGAACTCCTATGATGAACTAAACTGCCAAATCGTCCACGGAGGACAACTCACCGACTCGTTTGAAGTAAAGACCGGTGTTACGCAAGGTTGCTTACTCTCACCCTTTCTCTTTCTCCTGGTAATCGACTGGATCATGAAGACGTCAACATCTGGAGGAAATCACGGGATACAGTGGACAGGCAGGATGCAGCTTGACGATTTAGACTTCGCGGATGATCTGGCTCTTCTATCACAAACGCAACAACAAATGCAGGAGAAAATGACCAGTGTAGCAGCAGCCTCAGCAGCAGTAGGTCTCAATATAAACAAAGGGAAAAGCAAGACTCTCCGATACAACACAATATGCACCAATCAAATTACACTTGACGAAGAATCTTTGGAGGATGTGGAAACCTTTACATATCTGGTCAGCATCATTGATGAACACGGTGGATCGGATGCACATGTGAGGGCGAGGATCGGCAAAGCAAGAGCAGCATACCTACAACTGAAAAACATCTGGAGCTCAAAACAATTGTCAACCAACACCAAGGTTAGAATTTTCGATACAAATGTGAAGACAGTTCTATTGTATGGGGCGGAAACGTGGAGAACTACGAAAGCCATTATCCAGAAGATACAAGTGTTTATTAATAGTTGTCTATACAAGATACTTCGGATCCGATGGCCAGACACTATCAGCAACAAGTTACTGTGGGAGACAACAAACCAGATTCCAGCGGAGGAAGAAATCAGGAAGAAGGGCTGGAAGTGGATTGGACATACTTTGAGGAAATCACCCGATTGCGTCACAAGACAAGCCCTCACATGGAATTCTGAAGGTCAAAGGAGAATAGGCAGACCAAAGAACACATTACGCCGAGAAATAGAGACAGACATGAGAAGAATGAACAAGAACTGGATAGAAGTAGAAAAGAAGGCCCAGGACAGAGTGGGTTGGAGAATGCTGGTCGGCGGCCTATGCTCCATTGGGAGTAACAGGCGAAAGTAAGTATCAATAAACACAAAGTTTTCACAAATATTTTGTAAACAAATTAAACTATATTTACAGGAGAAAGTGCCTATTTATCATTACATTTATTTTAAGAAATTTGTTATTTCAATAGTGAGATTTTTAAAATGTTTGTTTGGTTCATGAGGCATTAAACTGTATCCATCACTCATGGAATTGAGTACTCCCAATCAGTAAATTTTTCTGAATTATCTTTCATGTTTAATAATTGAAATCTTGATTGAAACTCGCCGAAAACAAACTTCACTAACTATTTAATGGAGAGAGTTTCTTAGGTAATTAGCATCCGACGTCCAATATCACTGTAACGAGATGGTGTAGACCAACTGGTTTCTTTGAGATCAAACCATGGTGTTAAAGTGCGATTCTAGGTCCTTGGTATCAAACAGTTGTATTATTCTAGCCACTCTTTTACCTTTAAATTAATGCACTTATGAAATGTTTCACGGTCAGTATTTACGGAGTGTAAATGAATGTTAAACGGAATATACCAATTTTGGCATTGAGAAATAAAGATTGATTAAACCAAGATCTCTCTTTCGGGGAATTCATTTTCAAAGTTGTGCGATCTCAAATATGTACTGATTTTTTAGAAAGATAACGATTACGATAATATTGGTAATAAAATTCTGTTTAACGTGGTAACACTGAAGCAGTATAAAGAATGGGATAAAAAAGTTATTTTTATCAAGGAAACTAATTATAATTTTGTTGTTGGGATCCTAAATATTCACCATGTAGTTAGGTAACGAGATTATGTTGGAGAATGAGAGGCTCAGTATAGTAAAATGAAACGTCAGAATTGAGTTTAACTATAATCAGGAGGTTGCAGAATAATATATAAGGACTCTCGTCTAAATTAGAACGAATAGTTTCACAGTATTTGAGCGCCGAGTTGAAGTAAGACATTAAATAGGAATAATATATTTGTAAAATCTCAGCGAATGAATTTTTTAAATTAAATCCAACGTTTCGCCTGGCAATCTGGTCCAAGCTTTTTCAAGGAATTATATCTTGAAAAAGCTTGGACCAGATTGCCAGGCGAAACGTTGGATTTAATTTAAAAAATTCATTCGTTGAGATTTTACAAATATATTATTCCTATTTAATGTCTATAATCAGGAGGGTCATACAAACAGAGGTGAATCAGTTGGAGGAAAGATCTGTAGAGAGAATAGAAAGGAAGCAGAATGCTGTACAAGCGGAAGAGTATGAGGAAGAATAAAGCTTCACGAAGGCTTAAGTTAAACAAAATGTTGCACCAGATTCTTTCGGACTCATAATTCTAGTTTTTCCGTATATATAGCTATTGCTTCAACAATGCTAGGAAGACGTAATATACCTGCCATCGGTATTTTCTCACCTATTTTGTAGACTACTTTGAACTCGGAATCCCATGTGACCGAGTGACCTATGTTCACAAGGTGTTAGATAACTAACCTTCTTATCGAGTCCTTTTCACCACTTTCCAGGCGAGGCTGATAGCGCTCTCCGATTTTTTTCGGATTAAATGCTTATTGAACGGCCTATATATACGGCCCCACATAAAGAGGTAAGATGGTAAACCTACATGGAACTGGTCAAATGAGATTATTTGTCTCTGGGATTGTTAGTGAACATTGGTCGGCTGCAATACACCATTTTATTGCTTTTGTTCATAATTTCTCCCTATTACCACGCTAAGCAAAATTTTATTACCAATGTTATCGTAATGTAATCGTAATCTTTTTAAAGAATCA